ATTGTACCAAACGATCTCTTGCACTATAATAAATATCTATCTCTCTCTCCATATATATATATATAGAGAGAGATATTTATTATACTGCAAGAGATCGTTTGGTACAATGGTATATATATAGAGAGAGATAGATATTTATTATACTGCAAGAGATCGTTTGGTACAATGGTAGAATAAATAAGGATATCTCATGGGATGCAAGATTGTATGAACTTATTTTGTAACTCCGACAAACTAAGATGGTGATATGTGCCCCGTAAAAAAAATGGACATCAACCTAACTAAACGCTATATTACGAGCTCATAAGGGAGAATTGTTCAAAATTATATAAAAAGACTACAATTCATTTCCTAAGTCACTATGAGACGGTTAACACCCCTTGCACGCTCGTACACTCAAGATTGGACATTAGTACATGGAAAACATAATACGACTAAGGTCCAATATTAAATAAACTAAAAATAAAGATGTGTCACCTTGAGACCATATAATTAAGAAAATATATGTGAACTTCACTCAAATTTCAAAAATGGGCTAATCAGGATATGTAGATTAGCCAAGACCATGTAACCCCATAACAATTTTGTTTTTCATTTTAAAGTGATTCATTCATGCTATAAATTATTTCCAATGTTCTTATTAGAAATAAAATGATAATCATGATAGGATCTTAAAGACTTAAAGGAAATTGTACCGCTCAAAAATATGGTTAATTGTTATTTATTCATCTATCCTCAATCAGAGATATTAATTGAGATATTAACATAGAACCACCTTTGTTGGTAAAGCTTTTCACCCAAAGTGAGATATCAATTACAGCGCTAACCCGAATTAATTGAATTCCAAAACGTATACCGATCACCAGATTACAAAAAAAATTTAAAGGAGCTTGTGCATTAAGTAGAAAAGAAAGGACTGAGTTTTGAAAATGGTTAACACCTGTGATCTGAAGAGAAATTACAGAAACAAGGTGGTAGGAGTGGCTGGTAGGGTGGTGGGGTGGGGGTAGGGGGGGAGAAAGCTGTTGTACTGTATGAAGTGACTGGATGGGCAGATGTCCTGCCCATTGCCCGTCAATCAAATCTATCCAAAACCCCTCTCTGCCTTATGCTACTGCTACTGTTAAACATTTGCTCCTTTATTTATTTTTTCTCTTTTCTTACATTTTCTGAACAAAAAGCAAATTTCTTTTGGTTACTACTGATATTTATCTCTGACCACACTCCTTTCTTATTGGTTCTTTATTTCCCACTAGATTGAAATGGCCCTCCTCTCTCTCTCTTCTTCAAATCTTGGTGATCCCTTTTTTTATACAGCAATAAAAATAAAGAATAAGCCAAATATAACCTTTGCTCATGTCATTAGTTCATTATGGTTTTAAATAAATACTGGGGGTTTGTAATAAGTTGAGAATAACATAACAACTTAGGCCTTTTTCTTTTCTTGGTATGAATCTTGGGTATCTCTTGGTTTAAGCTATAAGGTTTTGAGTCTGCTAATTAGTTAAGAAAAAAACAAAAAGATAAAATGAAAAGGTAAAAAAAAGCATATACTAGTATATATCTAGTGTAAGATAGTAGTAAGAATATCTATTTACACAGATCCCTATGGCTATCCAATGCAGGGGTGCTATCCAGCATTGCTCGCTGAAACTCATTCTCTTTGTTTAGTTTAAAGGGTCCAGTTTTTGTTCTCTTTTTAAAGAGTAAGAAAAGAAAGAGAATGAGAAACTACAAGAAAGAGAGTTTGGGCTTTTTTCACCTTGATTGAAGAGAAGACTTCTTTTCCTTTTCCTCTTTACTTGTGGGGAGCAGCACACAAAAAAATTTCTTTGGTTTCATGAGTTCTTACTGCAACTACACTACAAAAAAGAAAAATCTTGGCCAAGTTTTTTCATATGCTGTGAATCTTGAATTTTAAAGGTATGATTTTTATTATTTTTTTCTTTTTCTTGTTTTGAAATGATTACTTTGTTTTCTTTCAATGATTGAACTGAACTATCTTGAACCACAGAAAAACTTTACAAACTTACAAGAACATCTCAACAACTGAATGAAGATGAAGTCCAACAGCAGCAACAGCAGCAATAATAATAATAGTAATAGTCATAATGATGGTAGTAGTAACTGGTTAGGTTTTTCTCTCTCTCCCCACATGAAAATGGAGGTTACTTCTTCTGAACCTCAACACCAACATCATCAGTTCAATAATCAGAGCTCTATCCATCCTAGTACTACTACCTCTGCTCTTGCTCAAAGTTTCTATCTTTCATCTTCTCCTATGAATGTGACTTCAAATACCTCTGGTCTTTGTTATGGTGTTGGAGAAAATAATCCCTTTGGCCATTCTTCTTTATCTGTTATGCCTCTCAAATCTGATGGCTCTCTTTGCATAATGGAAGCTCTCTCAAGATCTCATGCAGATGGTTAGTTTTGTTTTCTTCCAAAGTTTTAATCTTTTTTCACTTTTCTTGTTTCCTTTTTTTTTTTCCACTAAAATATATTTTGTTGTTATCTTTGTGTAAAAAGCTATGGTGCAAAGTTCTTCATCACCTAAGCTTGAGGACTTTTTAGGTGGTGCAAGTCAATATGGAAATCATGAGAGGGAAGCTATGGCTCTAAGCTTAGACAGCTTATACTATCACCAAAATGAAGGCTATTATTCTCCCATGCATTGTCATGGCATGTATCAAGAATCATTATTAGAAGAAACAAAGCCAACTCAAATTTCAAACTGTGATGCCCAAATGACTGCAGTTTCTGGAAATGAGCTGAAAAGTTGGGGACACTATGCTATTGACCAACATATAAATGCCACTTGTAGTAGTATGGTTGGTGCAGGTGGTGGTGGTACTACTGGTTCTGGTGGTTGTACAGTGGGTGGTAATGATTTGCAGTCTTTGAGCTTGTCTATGAATCCTGGTTCTCAGTCTAGCTGTGTTACTCAAAGACAAATTTCTCCTAATGAGCTGGAATGTGTTGCCATTGAAACAAAGAAAAGGGCTTCTGGAAAAGTTGTTCAAAAACAACCTGTTCATAGGAAATCTATTGATACATTTGGTCAGAGAACTTCTCAGTATAGAGGAGTCACTAGGTCAGTCCATTTCTTTCATTTTTTAAAAACCCTTTGAATTTTTTTTTCTGTTGTGGGGTTGCTATTTTTGAGAAGTTTGGCTATTTCTTGTCCTTCAATGTGAAAATGGGTTGCTACCAGTTGTCATGATTTTGCCTTTTTAGTTTTTCTTATTTTCTTGATCTTGAGTATCTGCTTTTATTGTTAAGATTTTCAAATGACATAGTGTGAATATGTTTTCAACAGACATAGGTGGACAGGTAGGTATGAGGCGCATTTGTGGGATAATAGTTGCAAGAAGGAAGGGCAGACAAGAAAAGGAAGACAAGGTTAGCTAATATGAAACTTTTATTGAATCCACATAAATTTGCTGGTTGTATTTTCTTCTTTTACTTTTTTTGGCCCCATTCTGTTCATAGTCTGACTATTGCTATGAATTTTTTTGTCATATATCTACTTGTTGGGGATATTCTATTCAAATCAACTCCACCCTATTTCAGTTTATCTTGGTAAGTGACTTTGTTTTTATCAATATTTTAAGACACCTGATTATATTTTTTTACTTAATACTAAACTGATAATAAATGTGGAATTTAGGGGGCTATGATATGGAAGAGAAAGCTGCAAGAGCATATGATTTAGCTGCACTGAAGTATTGGGGACCTTCAACTCACATTAACTTTCCGGTATATATGAGTTAACTAATTTCTTGAGTTGTTTTTTTAATGCCTATTAACCAACATGAGGCAGTATTTCTTGGCTCATTTTTGCAGTTGGAGAACTACCAAAAAGAGCTTGAGGATATGAAGAATATGACCCGGCAAGAATATGTTGCACACTTAAGAAGGTGAACATTTGTTTGAATTTTCTACTAGGTTCCTTTTCAAGTGTACTCAACTCATATGAGTTTAAATTTGTGTGATATCCTTGTATTATTGTTGAGTTTGTGTTGAAGTTTTTGTGTTATAACATTATATTCAGGAAAAGTAGTGGATTCTCAAGAGGTGCTTCAATGTATAGAGGAGTGACAAGGTATTCTTGACATTGCATCTAAACAAAATATTGTCTTTCTTTCCTTTTAAAATGCGCGGAAACAACCTGTTTTTTCCTTTTAAAATGATTAGCAATTAATTTTCTTCTGTTTTTTAATGGCAGGCACCATCAGCATGGAAGATGGCAGGCAAGAATTGGAAGAGTTGCAGGGAACAAAGATCTCTATCTTGGGACTTTCAGTAAATCCTTACGAACTCTCTTAATTAATTTAGTCCTTTAAACATATGATTATTTGTATAATTTTTTACTTAGTTGGCATCCTGACAAAGAATTTGATAAAGATCATTACATTAAAGAACTGCAATTTTGTGTCTTTCTTTTTGGTACCACATTTCTTTTTAGCCACTAGTAGTAATGCTTGTCAAAGGCTGACTATACTATTACTTTGCCGGTGTATCACTCATACTTGGTGGGACTGAAAAACTTTTCCAAAAGCTGTTTCTTCCTTCTGATCACATAATAAAGAGGGGAAAAAAATCTCTTTCTCGGTATATGTTATATTAAAGTTTTATGACATAAGTTTTGTAATTTTCACAGGCACACAAGAAGAAGCTGCAGAAGCATATGATGTTGCTGCAATAAAATTCAGGGGTGTAAATGCTGTCACAAACTTTGACATATCGCGATACGACGTGGAAAAAATCATGGCTAGTAATACTCTTCCTGCTGGAGAATTAGCTAGGAGAAACAAAGAAAGAGAGCCAATAGAGTCCATTGAATACAATCTCACCGGTCACAAGAATGAACAACCGTGTGTTCAAAATGACGACAACAACAACAACAATGGGAATAATGTCACAGATTGGAAAATGGTGTCATATCAATCCTCTAATCCTTCCCTAGGAAATTATAGAACCCCAACTTTCTCAATGGCATTACAAGATCTAATTGGTATTGATTTGATGAATTCAAGTAACCATGCAATTCTTGATGATCAACAGAACAAGATTGGTAACCATTTTTCAAATGCCTCATCTTTGGTTACTAGCCTTGGCAGTTCAAGAGAAGCAAGTCCTGATAAAAGTGCAGCCTCTTTAGTCTTTGCTAAGCCTACAAATGTCAATGCATGTATTCCCTCTGCTCAACTGAGGCCAATTCCAGTCTCCATTTCTCACCTACCAGTCTTTGCTGCCTTGAATGATGCATGAGGCTAAGGCTGAGGCTGTTGCTTTTTTTGTTACATGTTGTAACAGGTTTTTGCATGAACAAGAAAAAGGAAAACAAATTGGTGGTGGTTGGAAAAAAGGTGAAAAAAGAAAAGAAGATGTCGGATTTTAGCTAGTATTTTTATTTATTACCTAATTTTGAATGTAAGTGGATGACTTTAGGGTACTAATGGACAGGCAAGGTGGGGGGCCAATTACCTGTCTGTAACTATGTATTGGAAACTTTTTCAAACTCAAAAAGAAAAATTTCCTTTAGACATCCATTGATTTAGATTTTGCTAGAAATGGAGGGAATTATGTTGTTAATGGAGGGTCTAATCTAATGATGAAAATTCCACTGGTAATATGAGAAATGAAAATGACCCTATATTATTATTCAATCTACTTTTTCTTCTTTTGTGCTTGATCAAGTACAAAAACTAACTCAATGTTTCTCAATAATGCAAAAAGGTATATCTTTTGACCAAATTATTATGGCATTTTCATTCTGATAATCTCAGCCATATATTACTCAGTCTGCATAACACCATCATTCTCATATCTTTTTCTTTTCTTCTCTTTGAGATAAAGGCAATAAACATTCCTTCTCATATTTCAAAAAGGGCAGGAAAGGGAGATTCTTGGATTGATTTTTTTAAGGATTTGTAGGTCATAATTAGTTAAAACTTTGTCTCATTTTTTATGAGTCATACCTTAGTTAAAAATCACTTTAGCTTTTTAAAGATCACTTATAGTTTTAGTGTTGTACCTAAAAGCAATTCCATGTCTTGATGAGTTGATGTGGCACTAATTAACCTAAAGAAGTATTTTAATAATTGCTCTTTGTTAATTATTTTTATTCACACGTGTGAATATCCCCTCTCGTGCACATACTTGAGCAAAAATTACCATTGAGAAAGTTTAAATAATGGTAAAAAAAGGTATTTGCATTCCAAGGGGATGCGCGATGCCTATTTACCTTAATTCAAGTATTAGTAACTGATTTCGGGGCTCGTACTCGTGACTAAGTCAAGCGAAAATAATTTTATCGTTGATCCAAAACTCCTTTAAAGTTCGAATAATAGTAAATTTTGCATTATTAGGCCGGACAAGGAGGAAATGATGCCGGAAAAGCAGGAATATGTACCAAATAAAGTTAAATTTTGGTTGTTCTTCCACAAAAAAGTTACCAACAAGTCTTTAATTATCATTAATGGTTTGTTAATTCATAGTAAGTTCATGTTTCACTAATATCATATGCTTCAAATTGGACAAAGTTAGATACTGCATGTTCAGTACAAAAAATGGTCCAAAAGTTAAAGTGGACCCAAATTGAAATGACAAGGTGGGTAGTGCCCTCCATAGCTGATATTGTACTGATCTTCATAATCATGATGTTATTGTTCTATCCTTATCAAAAACTTCATTAGCTGGCTATAATTTAGCATATCCTTTAAAGTAGGATATTAAGTGGGCAGAGGAACTAATATATATTAAAAAAAAATTAAGTTTTGTGCACTAATCTTATAAAATATTTTTACATAATCAGATACTTATATGTATTAATTGAGAACTTGATAAAAATAGTAAATGATCTATTATCACTGGTTAAACTATATCGATTGTATAAAAATAAAAGATATTTACATTGCCGGTGTATCTTAAATCTACGAAAGCCATAGGTAACATTAAACTACTTCAATAAGCTAATGGTAACTATAATGGTCTAAAAGATTAATTAGTCGTACTGCATTTTATATGACGGAAAGAAAATGTAAAAAATATAAAATGAAAAGAATGTATTTTTTTCAACAATTGAATGGTCAATGAATAAAAGAAGGCAATATATGCAGGAGGGAACACTCCAACATGTATAAATGATTAAATGGCTACAGTGAATATTGTAATGGTCAAAAGGATTGCAACCTTTGTGGAAAAAAATGGGAAAGTGATTATGGATACTTCTTAATTCTATAACTAAAAGCTATACATAATGTGATATATGAAGTTTGTCACCTTTTGGTTTATAGTCAAAAACAATGATTACTTAATCGGTTGTTGACAGCTATATAATAATAGTGTAAAGCAAAACCATTGTAAGACAGCACTTAATCAGGAAATTAACTATTTTTGTCCTGCAGGCAAGTTTACCCCATAATATATTACTACTAATCTTAGCAGTGTCTCACAAATCTTTCATATTTTAAGTTAATTTTATTTATTTCGCGTCAGATTTAACTTATTCTATAAATATCTTTCACTAGTGGTATTAACTTGGCCACAAATAATAAGTATTTCATTATTTGCTACTACTGAACCTCACTAGTTGATAGTGGTTTGGTCAATCATTATTTGCAAATACTAAACTTCATTATTTGAAATGTTGGTGAAATACTGGTAATTTTCTTGGGAAGTATGTTTCGTGAAATAGTATTTTTTGTTAATTTCAACTCTTTTTTCAAGTGATAAAATTACTGTCTATACATTCAACTTTCAAATATTTTTTCCAACTTCAATCTCAATTTGTTTTCACGATTTCAACCAAATATTATCCAAACGCCCGCCAATTACAGAACAAGTTATCTAAAGTATTTCGCGTTTACGCAGTGTCCGGAGAAAGACCGTATCCAAGGGGTGTGATGTCTCTCCATATCCTAATGCAAGTATTAATGATTGCTTTTATGATTTGAACCCGTGACATATTGATCATATAGAGACAACTTTACCGTTGCTCCAAGGTTCCCTTTATGATTTTTCAGTAATATTCTATTAAAATAAAAACTAACAACCAGTTAGAATCTTAAATGAAGTTGGTGTTAGTTTAACTAGTGAATAGTATAATATATGACTGTATATCCTAAATTATCCAAAACTTAGACAATAGGCCATTCCATAAACAAAAAAAAGTATGCGGCAAAACGGACCACATGCAAATTTATTGAGGACCACGTAATCGAATAAAGTGAGTGAAAATACCAGTAATAATACTTAGAATTATATCCTATATGCTCAAATATTTAAGAAGATTTTGCTTCAAAAGAAAACATAAGAAAAAACAAAGAGGAAAACGAAACCGTACATATTGCAGCTGGGAAAGAGTGGGACAATTCTACTACTCAAAGATGTTGATTCGTTTTCAAAGAGTTATAACACTAAGTAGATTTTCAGAAAAGGACTATGATATGATGAATGCAATATAATGTTCCCTGTAGAGGGACCTTGTTTCCTACTATGAAACTAGATCTGAATTTTTTTCACTTAACACGTATAGTTGAATTTTGTTGCAAAAATAAAAAATAAAAAATGGTCCCTCTTATTTGTACCACATCTCTGTGGCTAAGTCCCCATTACCACGTGAAAATGGCAGCAGAAATATGTGCCAAAAATTCTTAAATCGGATCGGTGACATTATTGTTTCTTTGCCAAACTAAGTAAGCTTTGACATAATTGGTAGGTTTACTAGATTGCTTTTTGGTGAGGTAAAAGTTAAACCCTTAGTAAGGAAAAAAGCAAATCTATGGTTCAAGTTTTTCTTTGCTTTTAACTAATTATTTCGGGGTTTTCATTAGGTTACTTCCTAACAAATCAAAAAGATCCGTTACCTTGAATAATGACTCAATTTAAAAGTTAATTCAAATCTCTTTTTTTCATATATTACTATGTCAAGATTAAAAACAAGAAACTTCGCGTACATGGTTGGACATGGCCTTTTAGTCTATTGATTAGTAAATCCCTTACATTCTCTCACATATATGCTAGCTGCAACCATAAAATACATGTCCTAATACAAGTGAGGAAGTTGAACTGTCAAAAAAAACTTTTATTGTCACAGAAAAAAGGTATAAATAAGTATAGATAAGTATGGTATAAAGCGTTACAAAATGCATGCATACACTAGTTATTCAAAAAAAAACTCCAAATATTAGTCATTTTGACAAATTAAATTTCTTGCAAAATATTTCATGTTTTTGAAAAATTAAGAAATCGTGTATTAATTAAGTGAGACAACTTTTAAGAAATGGTTTAAGTTTTAATAGGTTGTCAGTATACACTATCAGGTCACCCAAAATATATTTATAGGTAAACTTTTTTAAATTAAATAGTATAAGATTTGTAATCTAAAAAACAAAACAAGCTACTTATTACAACATTTAAAGATACCGGATGCTATTAAACATCTTCCTTAAGGGATGTACAAAACCTTAAAAACACAATAATATAAACAGGCGGTAATAATAATTAGGGTACACTTATAGGCACATGATAGAGAAGACAGTAATTCCCAGCAACTAGTAGTACTTTTGACAAAGGTTTTACTGAGGGAAATTAAGATGAGAAGATTGAGGTGGACAGGGACCATTAAAGAGGGAAGATAGCTAAAATTGGGGAGGTATGTCCTGTCCCCTAGAGAAGATGCCATAAATATGGAACCCTTTACTCTCCAATTTTATCATTTATTATAAGACCAGTGTTAGATCAGTTTCTTCAATTTTTCACCACTACGTTAAGGGGAGCCCCCCCCCCCCCCCCCCCCCCAATCCCTTAGCTTCCCCTCGCCGTTGCGCTAAATGCAATTATTTGCAGTTTTGCCCAATGGACATGTTTCACTTTCATTTACATTCATTTGCTTCCTCTCCACAAAATTCTACTACTACGAGAACCCAATGAAAACCAACAAGAAAATAGCCTAATCAGTGTTTCGGGTTGATAAAGCGTTTTAACTTTTGTGTACCGGACAGTTCGGTGCATAAAGCATCACGTATTTACGCATGGCAAGGGAAAGGGTCATATCCCAAGGGGTTTGATGTAGACAACCTACACTATTGCAAGCATTAGTGATTACTTCGAGAGCTCGAACCTGTGACACAGATAAAACTTTATCATTGCTCCAAGACTCCAAGCGTTTCGCTTTTTTTGCACTAATAGTGTATAGATCATTAAACTGTCAAGTTAAGTTAACCTATAACAATAAGTAATTCTTCGTAACAAGTCTGATATATTAG